CAGGCTTGATGCCAGAAGCTTTACAGGCTCAAGAAGCTCACTGCGTGCGCCGGTCCAGCTCGAGCGTCATGTTACTCACAAAGTTTGGCGACTGCGCGCAGTGAAAGCTTGAAGGAATCAGCGAAAAAATGTCGCGGATTGCTCGATGCCAAACAACTTCCAAAGACTATTACTACTGCAAAGCCCACACACAGAATGAGCATTCCTGCATTCTTGCTGTGGCACACTAGAGCCTCGCCTGACTGATGCAGACATGGCATACTCGCGGCCGTTGAGCAGCGAAGGCCAGCTAACAAGGAGCCCGTCTTTCTCTCGAGTCTTGCTACGAGTACGCTGATTGATGACAACAGCCGCTTTAGAGCTGAGGGCGTCCCACGAGCGTTGCCCGAGCGGACATTGCAGGACCAAACATGGGGGAATTCCTGTTGCAAACCCGCCCGTTGGGCCCCCTAAGCAGACTTCGCTCGGAGCTACGCGCTCCTGGGCCACCGTTTTGGGCCTATAGAGCAAAAGGATACGACCGACCACGTGCGGTCTCAAGCCGTCAATCACAGGCCGGCTGGGAAAGCAATTCTGCCAACATCGTGAGGAAATCAAAGCAGCAGCGATGCCAGAAACAATGCGAGGTAAGCAAAGCTGCATGTAGCAAGAAGATAGCTACATGCAGTCCGTAATTCCATCATCTTCTGCACAACATGTAGTGCTGCAGAAACGTCAACACTTTCACAAAATCCTCGAGCTGGCAGCGGAAGGATCCATGGAAGTCCCGGAACCCGCAGCCAGGAAAGTTGCCATTTCTCAACTTCTTAAGACTGAAGCAGGGTTCAAAGGTAACAGACTTGGTTGCTGTCTTCCTCTTGCGGGCGTACGAGACGGCAGCGAGCAACTTCGTGACCCTTCGAAAGATCACTCAGCTGGATTCTTTAGGTGAGCCTGCAGAAGCACGTCTATGAAAGCTCACCCAAATCCAAGGCACCATGCAAAAGAACATGCAAGTCCCTATGTGGCCATCATACCCAGGAAGCTCATCTTCAAATACAATGGAGGCCACAAAAGACCCTTCACAAGGCCAGCAGCGTCGCCAAGGAACCAAAAGCCCCGGCATCTAAATCTGTTCTCGCATGAAGGCTGAAATGCTGACAAAGCCGACACTGTGGCACTTCGTGAACTGTACTCTCGAGCAGCACTCTTCCAAGGTAAGGCAGCTCTTAGCCTGCCAATCTCACGCTCCGGCGTGCTGCCCTTTGGAAGACGGAAGGAAAACCAAGCTTCTCGAGAAACCGTGCGGCGTGTATTTGCCATGCTGTACAAACAAATCTGAGGAATAGTGATCCACAAGAATTCCACTGAGGACCTTCTGCTAGAGCTGAGATGAGGTTCAGATGAGGACTTTTGAATGGTAGTTTACCGAATTGGTCTTTTGAGGATCACCCCCTCGGCCCCTCAGCTTCTCAGACGACTCCATGAAACTGTCATCACGGTCTCGCCCGGAAAGGAACTCCAATGCCGCCATTTTTGGTCAACAATAGAAAATTGGAAGTTGTCAACATCTTAACAATATCATATTATTGAAAAACTTTGGCTAGCAGTCGGCACGGGGCAACGGCAGGCCTACTAGTTCTGAAGGCGTCGCCGTGGCATCAGCGTGCAACTTAGAGTTAGAGCATCCAAGCTTCCCATGCGAGGGATGAAGTCAGAGCTAGAGCGGCCTGAGCTTGCTTTTCAGTCAACACAGGTTTTGGAGCACTTGACAAGACTTTTACGGCAATGATCAATGATGGCGGCTCGTCTGTGCCCACAAAGGCTGGCACCCAGTGCCGGGAACAACTCGCAGTCGAGGCCTGCAGACCTTGCCGAAAACACATTGATTCCGGGAGATGCACGTATCACAGGAAACTTCAGCAGGCTTCCAATTGAGCCTTCGCCCAACCCCAAAACAAAGACATGCAAGCCGTGTTTGTGCAAGGCTCAAAGACTCTGGAGGCCCTGGTAAGCAGCTGGCTATCTGCAGATGAAATGGACCTTTACAGCCGCGAATTCGGTCAGAAGTCTGTGTCCCACCTGTCAGGATCTCGGCTTGAGCAGCTAACTTGCTGAGCCCCTCTCATATCCATGCTCTCAGTCCACCACGTGCAAGCCCCCTGCACTGGCTTAAACAGCTGAGAGTTCTTCAGGAGCTCACCTGGCAGCGTAGGCAAGATCCGTGCTGTCCCTGCCCCCGACACACCCTGCCTGAGAGGTCCTCCATTTTACAGACCTCACTCTCCCTGCCGGCGCAGTTCACATGCAAAGTTTGATGGTATCTTCTCAAAGGTCTTCACCAGAATTATCACCAGAATTATATTTCAGCAACCACTTGCATCTGTATTATGTGCCCGGCCTAAGCTGGAAAGGTCGCGCGATGGGCGGCGGCAGGGTTTGGGCTTTCAGAGCCTGGCTGAGCTTCAGAGAAAGATGCAACCCTTGATGGCCATGAAGTGCCCTGCGCCTGAAAGTCAAATTCCATCTTCTGGAAAAAGATGTGTTCCCTGAGCATTGAGATGGTTGTGGAAAGTGTCCCTCTTGTGTTCAAGGGTTGGGGCTTGGGATTCCTGCTGGCCTGAAAGCAAGGGACCCACACACATGACCGTCGAATGCCCTGCAGGGAGCAGTTCAAGGCCAGAACCGCAGTTCACGCGCGCCCGTGCGGGCGCCAAGGCGCTTGGGGAGCTTCTGCCTCAGAGGTAGCATGCTAGCACAACAAGCTCCCCTTGCTGGGATTGTCTGTGCAACAAATATAACCCCAATATAATCCCAATATAAGCCCAATATAACCCCCATTATAACCCCTATAATCCCTATAGTTTCCATTTTCTTTTCAATTATCCCCATATACGAGGATTGTGCAACATATATATATATACTCTATAATCCTTATATAAACCCATTATAGTAGTTTCCATTTTCTTTTCCACTATCCCCAATATTAATATTAACCCCCCAATATACGAGTGGCAGGAGCTTGGAGATGAAGTTCCGGACAAGCAGAGGGCCTTGGTTTGTGCGGAGTCCGCAGTCAAATTATAGGGTTTATAATCTGGGTTATATTGCGGATAATGGAAGAGAAAATGGAAACTACTGTAATGGGTTTATATAGGGATTATAGGGTACATATATGTTGTGGGGATAATGGAAAAGAAAATGGAAACTATAGGGATTATAGGGTTTATAATAGGGGTTATATTGGGGATAATGGAAGGTTGCGCATCAACAGCTTTTATTGTCATTATAATGGGTTTATAACTTTACAACCTTTAGAGGGCCCTTGGAGGGGGTATGTTTCAGGGGTATGTAACTATTTCCATTGAAACAGCTAGCTACTGGTACTATCCTGTAGATTCCTGTAGTAGATGAGTCCAGCTGACTGAGACTCTGCGTGAATGCGCCAGACCAGGTCTTGTCTAGGAATCAGGCAGCTGAAAGGATATCGCGGTTCACCCTTCTCCTGGTACAAGCTGTCCAAAAGTGATCAAACACATAGACTTCACCCAGCAGGATGCACAGGACAGGCTTGGGAAGCGTGGGGTGTAAGTCGGAACGCTTGAGTTGGACAGTCAAAAGGCCGAGTCAGCACATTGGAAGAGCTGAAAAAATGGGTTGGAAAATCGCAGCTGGACGCATAAACTTGATTTTCTGAGCCCCTGAACCCTAAACTTTGAAGGCTTCTGGCTTTCCACATGACTCCGTTTCTTTGACTTAGCTTGCAGCTCCTCAGCCCAGTATGCGTGACAAAAACTACGGAATCGCATGTCTGCTGTACGCGTCCTGGCTGCGCCGTATTGCCAGCAACTTCCTCGCATAGTCGCAACACAGCGCTGAAACTTGATCTTGCTGAATCGGATGCGCCAAAATTACACTGCCCCAATAAGCAGCACACAAGCCGTGACCAAAGGCATGACTGCAAACTAAAAGATTCTCTTAAAAAGACACGTCCTTCGAAAAGCGAAGGCAAAAATCAAGATTGAGCTCGGGACCCGAAGACATCGGCTACCCCCTCATCCTCGTTCAGGGAAACTGTGCGCGTGCGGACAAGGCAAACCGTTTCGCAATATGGATCTGGAGGTACCCTGCCCTGACCGTCACTCCGAGCCAGAAAGTAAAGACTTTGCTTAATCATAGCCCTTTACACTTTACAACAGGTCTGTTGGACGTCAGGAAACACGATATGCCTAACGCGTTTCACAAGGAGAATTTCCTCTTTTCAGCGCGAGGGCATGTCCTCCCAGGGAGGTTGGCCAGCGTTCAGCTCGTAAGTCAAAACGCCCAAAGACCACCTGGGCGACTGCCATGCAAAAACAATCAAATCATCTAAGTCTCCCTTTCCTCCTCAACTCTAGGGTGCGCGAAGGGTATGTGATGTCTGGGCCCATTTGCTTTCATCGCAGTTTTCAAGGCCTGCTCAAAAGAGGATGTAGGCTGGAACAAGCCTCAAGAAAGCCTTCCATAGCCTCCCGTCTCTGCTGTGCCACACAGGTTAATCTCTTCTCTCAGGAGCCAGCCAGTCGCATGTCATGTCATGTGCATGCGGAAAATCGATTACCTGTCCATGAAGGCTCTATGGCATCAAGCGGTACACAGGGATTGTATGGAAAAGAACATGGAAACCAGTGTAGTATGGGAGATATTGTAGGGCTTGCATAAACGGTTCTGGGTTACGAGGCCAATCAGGTGGAAATGAAGCGCAAGATGAAATGGAAGCTGGGTTTATATGCAGGTTGCTCAGGCTGGCCTCAGGAGCCATGTACTCAGGGGTTCCTGCCAGGGTGTTCGTCTTGGAGATCACGAATCGAGCAAACCTGGTGCTGATGATGCATCGCCGCACTGATGAGAGAGCGATAACCACTGCCATGTCAGCCAAAATTGTATGATTCAACATATTATTGTGATTTCCAGCCACCTGGCATGTTGCCCAAGTCGTTTACAAGCACATGCAAACGTTTGCAGAAGTCTTGGCGCAGCACCCCATATCGCAAAGCTTGGCATAGCCGCGCTCGTCCAGCATGACCTGGGTATCCCATTCTCAAGTAGCAACAATTACTAGCAAACTACATCTTGCAAATACTGTTGTCATTTTCTCGCAAGCTTGATTCTTTCACCTGCTCCGGTCTTCCACGCCCTGCGAATACTCCAGCTCAAGAAACAGAGGACTTCGGCAAAATTTGACCGAGATACATTCTCCGGCTTCAGGTCGCGGTAAACGATGCGCCTGCCACTAAGCCAAAAACTTGGAAGCTAGAGGTCACCTTGGACTTGCTTATACTTGCTTCGTCCCGAGCCCTGCCTGTCGTGCAAGTGCTCTAGAGCTGCCATGATGCAGGCAACCTCTATGACAACTTGGCAGCCAACTGCAGAAGTTTCGGGGATCACTGTTCTGGGCTCTGTGCATAGAAAGCTGAAGAGCTGCCCTTCGGCTGATCGTCACAGAAAACCTGCACACGAGCTATTCCTCTGACCACCAAACCAGGATAGACTGCCTGGCAGGCTGCTTCTAGATTCTGCCGAAGGAGCGACTGAAGGCTTCCATCTCCGATCATGCTGTTAGTTGAACTTCTGCAGTGTTACAAGCTAAGACACAAAAAAAGTAGAAAGAGCAAGGCGCAGAAAAACCCAACCTCCGGCTTCTGTCTCATCAACTGGCAGGCAGGCAATCTGATTGAGCTTTAGCTCATGCACTGAGCAGTCAGCATCCCAAAGACAGCAAGGCGCCTGGTAGAGAGTTCCACCGAGGGCTGCCTTCCGAAATAGGTACAATGAAAAAGCATTTCCGCAAAGCCTAAAGTTCATTTTGGCATCTGCTACACTGGGCGACCCATCCAACATCTGCCTCCAGAAGGATGTACAAGAACTCGTCGTCCTGGACCAGAATGGTCAGTGTTTGCGACTGAAGATCTTTCAATGCAACGGCACTGAAAGGAGCTTGTTTGTGAAGACCCTCCGAAAAGAAGCGTGAAAATTGACCTCACATTTGCTGATCGGGTGCGATCCTTGTGCGTGCGGACCAAGCGAATGACGAAGGGGCTGTCAACCTGCCAAATTAAGAAGCGCAACTTAGGATTGTGTTGTAATCAGTGTCCAATACCTTCCAAGCCATCGCAGCAATTACACGGCCATCCGCTGTACTCCTACATGCAGGGACAATAATCTGGTGGTGGCACAACGAACAATAAGCCTGAAGTCGAATGAGCACTATTAGCGGGCAAAAGGACTGGCGTCCACAGCAAATCACACACGACCAAGATGGCGAGCAAGCATGCCGTGGCAGGCCACCATGAGCATCTCCCTCTCCCAGCACACCTGCCAAAAAGACTAGGTTGCTGCTTAGGAACTCAAAAAAAATACTATAATGAGGAGACCCTATGATTTCAGATATACCCATGTTATGGTAACTTGATTTAAGTTCCTGATCAGCAACCCAGAAGAAGGTGGCTGCATGGCGAACACCAATCCCCCGTGTGCAAACCTGCCAGTTAGACAAACTTGGTGGGCTGGACTCAAACTTGACTCGGAGATGCCAGTTACAATGGAGGCACTTCATCCACTCAAAGATAAGCATCTTCTCATAAAGAACATTGGCGCAGCCTGTCGCACCGCATCGAGCTTCTCCACATGCCCCTGCACCAATCACGGAGATCAAGAGCAGGTCGAAGTACATTCCAGGAACTCTTTAAGATCCACAGAGGCACAGATGAATTTGCCTCGTTATGTGGACCCATGAGGCTTCCCTTGCTCCAACCCAGAAGATTCCGACGTCCAGACCAACACAGACCTGGCCTTGGAGATGCACTTCAAAGCATACCTGATCGCAGAAACGAATGCTTCCATCACTTTCCATGGGGCCCTTTGCATACACAGGTCGCTTGCCTCTTGCCCGTGTCCTGCTCCTCCATCAGGTACACATCAGCAAACCCGCCGCGACCCAGGTGGCACACCTGCACGCGCTTTCAAACTGCACTGAGAACAGGGTGCTATACAAGTTGAACAGTTGACTCTTGGCTGCGAAATTTGCTTGCAACAGAAGACGAATAAGGGCATGCTAGATTTCGCATTGGATGCCACGCACCTTGTCCAGGTTTGGCATTTGAACTTCCTTCGGACAGCACCAATCACACGTGGTTGTTAACTGCGGGAAGCGTTTAAAGTTTAAAGCACGAGGGAGCAGCGCCGGCAAGGCTCTCCTCGGTCTGGACACGCTGACGGCGCATGCGCCCGAGCTTCGCAAGCTCGTACTCCTGAAAAGAAATCTCTAAGCGTGCTGGCACATCAACAACAGCAGCAAAAGACCACGACTGTCACACAAATAAATACATGGGATCTGTTTTTTTTGCAGTTGGCAGTTGGAAGCACTCCGCGAACCAGCTTGGCTCGTCTGAGGTCTGAGGTGCCAGCAGTAGAGCTCAAATTATTCACGCTGGGCAGCAGTGCCTGTTCACAAGGGGATGGACATCTCATTTTTCTCGTTCATCTAACGCCAGCATGGACCAGCTTGAAAAAAGGGGGATCCAGTTGCCTCGGCCCCATCCCCCAAGGCCCCCTGGCGAGAGAGGTCCTCGAGCAGGACACGGATGGCCTCTCAACGCGGCTGGCAAGAAGAGTACACAGCCCTGTTTGCACTGGTGTTGTCCAGAATCCGTAACATGGCCAGGCCTGGCCCTCGAAGGCAAGGCCTCAGAGCGACACATGGGCTAGGCGTGGGTGCCCACGGAGGACCGCAAGCAAACCATAGGGGTGCCCACTGGGGCTGCAGTGCAAGTACGTTCAAAGGCGTCCACCCAAGTAGTCCAGTTGCAGCTTTGTGCAGGACTTTCCGTCAGCTCCCATGCAACCTCAGGCCGCAGCACACCAGGCCGTCCTTGCCGGCATGCACACTAACCTGCATCAATGGATTTGAAATCTGAGATGCAAAAATGTTCATCATGATAAACGGTGCTGTGCTTGAGGCTGCTGCGTCATGATATTGTCGGTGACTTTTTGCAATTTCAGACATGCATACTGAACAGCCTCCGGGATGGCATGTTCGCCACCGCGGAGAAGAGAACGCTCGCCAAAGTGGCCTGGCGCAGAGAGGTGAAAGCTCAAAGCTTCGCACCAAATGGAGCCATGGCCTACTTTGAGCATGCAGCAACAAGCAAAGCTCAACTGCAGCTGTGAAACAGAGCATCGGCCTGGACGTCGGAGTTGAGAAATCTCCTCTGTGCTCTCCTGGAGCCGGCAGAGTTTGGACTTTGGACACTTTGAACGCTCGCTGCTTGATGTTCCACATCTTTTGCCACATGAGCTGAGTATGCCATGCAATGCACTTGTCAAAGCCAGTACAGACCACACTCACAGTTTCTTCAAAGGCTCGCTTGCTTCTTGCATGTTTACCTTTGTTGTCCGAACGCACGAGTCATTACTACGAGTACCACGGCTGTCTCAACTGGTTCCCACCTGCCCGTCAGGTCCAACATGCCGAGCTGACATCACCTTAACGTCAAAGCATGCAGCCAGGAGTGATGAAAGCATCTGGGTGCCGGACGCAACTGCCAGAAAAGATGATGTACCAAAGCGCCGACTGACAGCATCGGCCAACATGGAAGGCTTAAAGTTGCGAACGCAGCAATACCGGTGCCTTCCGAGGTATGCCCTGCTGGATGATGCGCTCACCCGGCCTACATGGAGGCATCAGAAATGAACGAGAAGCGTCTTCTGCACGCACCATGACTCCATGCACCTTCCCACAATCAACACTCAGCGGCAAGTCAATAGGAAAGGGCAAGCAGTATCAAGTCTTTTCTATGAACGCTCTAGAAGAAGGTAATACCGCAACACCTGGAACCTGCCTGGCCAATGCTCACTAGTCATCCCAAGCCCCAAATGCCATGCAGCAAGCCTGAATGTGAAGAGACCCAGCGCACTGCACGCCAGCTCCCAACCTGATCATACCAGGCCCTGCTTCCCCCTGTTTGCGAGCTGCAGTACCGTTGCCGACCAACCAAAACAACTCGCGACACAGCGGCTCTTACCCTGGTGTTACTTCTATGGCCACTGCAGGTTGGGCAATCTTTGCATCAGTCTGGCCAGGGAAATGCATGGCAAATCCGTTGAACCGATTTCAGTCGTCGAACCGAATGCTGCAGCTCATCATCGTCATCGCCATCAGCATCATCATCATCATCATCATCATCGCACGCAGCAGGAACACCGAACACCATTGTTGACAGTGGCGACAAGTGTAACTGCGCAACCCAAAAAACAGAAGCGACTATGTGGACGCGGACAAGCTGCGTGAGCTCCCTCATTACCAAACTGTGGACAGGTTGGCTCCTCTTCACTACTGCCACAAGCCACAACAGATTACATTCTCTGGCCATTTCGGGGATGTGTACTTTGAACAAATTGCTATCGCAATCTCAGTGGAGGGGCGCTCTGCGCGCACAAGCGGCCAAAGAGCAGGCACCTGTCAACAAGCTTTAAGCTAAACAGCACTGGCTGTCAGTTTCCAACGAGGCAGACGCAACCACAGAAGACTTCCCCCGCACGCGAGGCTTCATTACGTCTGCACTATGAAGCTGCGACACAACCAACCGCCGCATTGTCAGCAACTACCATGTGCAGCATCGCCGAAGGTGTCAAGAATACTTTCTGTAATACCTAGCCAGATTGCAACTCGCTGCAGTTCCAATGCCTCATCCAACAACGCACAGTAGTCCTGCCCAGGTTGCTGATCTGTACAGTCGGTGCATCATTTCGAAAGCCAGGTGCCTTGAATCGAGGTCCACGACGGTTGAAATGAGCTTTGAAATGCCTCGCTCGCCATGAGACTGCAACACCCCAATTGAAGCATTTCAAGCAACATCAGCTGATGCAGCACATCTTCCAAATGACCCTGTAGCATTTTTGAGTACCGTGCTTCCGAGAAATCACGTAGACCTGGCCAGACACCACCATGACGCCATTCACTGACCAAACATGGTTCTCGGAACCGACTCGATCTTGGCTTCTTCACAAGTCTGCGCAATTCTGTAGCGGTTTTGACTGCTTTTACAACGTTGTTCCGGAAAGTCGCATAAACATGCAACATCAGCCTCAGAGTCCTCCACGGCTTTGAACGTCGCCTGCACATGCGAGGGTCACAATAACATTGCATTGTAGCTGGCAGAATCCTCCTCTTAAGAGCAGCAGTAAACTTGCCTCAGCCTTTCACCTGACTGGGACCCTTAGTTACATTTACATGCGCCTCTCGAAACGCGTTGTAGATCAAGGACCTCAGCGACTCAGAGCTGCAGAGCATGCTAAATTTGATCTTAACATATGTTACATGCATTCATGCATGCTATGCTCATCCACTCATCCACATCTCCTCAGTGTTCGGCAGCTCACCGAAGCTGTCACCGGGCTCGAGCTCGGCCACAACATCCTTCGCTCGCATCAGATGTTCAAACTTTCGACTCCTGTGAACAAATCCAAGCTTTCATTTCTGTTACCTTCATAGGCCCCCACGGGCTCGCTCGACAAGCGAAGCATGTCTGGATCAACCTGCGCAGCAGAACCAACACATGACCGCAAGTTGCGCACTTCAAGGGCACAGCTGGATGGGAAGGACCCTGGAAGGAGTTGAGCTTTGCTGCTTCGCATGCCGAAGCACTCTTGCCGTGAAACGCCCGGACCAATACACAAGCTGTTGATTCCCCTGATTGCGCTGCGCCGGTACACTGAGTGAATGCCAGGAAGAACTTGACCGTTGATTACTGTGCGAGGATTGATGATCCGCTGTGGAGAATCGGGAAAAAAGCATTCTTTCAGCTACACACCTATCTATACAAGCATCAGCGCACACTACACGCGCGCGCAGCTGCTCCTCGGAGATACTACTGTGCTGGTAAAGACATGGCACAAACTTGTGTGCACCTGAGCCGCACTTCCGTCCCTGCAACTGCGGACAGGTTGAACAAGTTGTGTGCACTTCTTACACGTTGCCAGGCCAGCAGCCTAGACCTTC